AAGTACATAGTCAACAAAGTCAACAGATTTATTTCGCAACGACTGGGCATTTAAAACACAACATTTCATTAAAGTTTGTCTCACATTATTTCTGTTATTGTTGACATCGGCCAAGGTCATCACCGGAATTTGGATCAAATTACAGTTAATGTCATTATTATTTATTGACGCATTATTTCCGAGACATAATCTAGGTATTGATGCCAATCGGTTTGGTTGAATATTGGAACCGGGCAAAAACCCTGCCTGTCAGACATTTGCTTTCTATACAATATTTATAAAATATGATTGTGTACTGTGTGACTCATCTAATTATGCTCTTCAATTTTGCCAGTAACAAAGCTTAGAACGACACTTGACAAGAAATGGAAGACTATCATTGTTTCAATTTAACTAGAAATACACTACATAGAATGGAAGTTAACATTACTGCCTATTCCGATAGCTGGAAGTCGACAATCATTTGCAGCACGATATTACTTTGAAAAGCCTCTCTCTGTATAAACCATACTTTATATTTAAAGCATTACTAGATATATTTCAATATTTGCAACACTGTAATACTGAATTTAATTAGGTACATACGACCATAACCGGATAATTTTCCATAGCGGCGCCGGCGCGAAAAAGCACCTAACTATCCGATACGGGATGTACAACTTTCGGAAGCTGAAGGAAACATCTCTCGGTTGCAACAATTCCTCTGAAAATAGCGTTCCTAAAAGAAACGGATAAATTTTTTCAAGTCGCTACGGAAGCTATCGACCACCATGTATTGTACGATGGTGAAGAGTGAAATCCATCCAGTACTACATAGGTCAGTAACGTGATACGGACAAAATGCCCTCTGCCCTAGCTCTTCCCTAAAGATACACCCACGCAACCTCACTTTGGCGAACTTTATTTAAAAATTGACATTTAGAAATGTAAATTTTTAAATAAGCTTGCCCCGTTCCTCGAGGTGTGTGATAATTAAATTCCAGTTATTTCCAGAGGAATGGGGCGAGCTTAAATTAGCATCTAGTGCATCTACGAGTATTTTTGGGCCAATGATAACAAACACACACACATATTTTTAAAACATGTTTATTATAAATGAACTTCCTTTACAACCATTGTAATATTATTTGCTTTACATTCGTAGTTTAATGCCAATCACTCTATTCAAATCAAAATTGTGTTAATATATGATTTGCGTCTACTATTAAATGGATCTATTGTCTGTTCCTTTGACAGTTCCAATCGTAATATATTGATGTAAGTTGTGAATTACACATTATTCTACAGGCAGTTCTTAAATTCATATTTGCTATCCTTAGAATGCTTATCCTTAGAATGTTTATCCAAAATTGAGGAAACGTCATTTTCAAATAAATTACAAGATCATATTTAGATTTCTTTTCGTTCTTGGGATAAAGGATATTAGCTTTGATAAGTTCCCTTGGGCAGGGAAGTATTGCAAACTTTATTGGAAAAGAATGCAATTTAAAGACAAACACAAATACAAATAACGTTACAAACAAAGAAGAATTAAGATGGATAAGGTGCCTTACATGCACCTTTTCAATATAGTACGTACAAACATAGAAATAAGATCTACAACAGTGATGATGAAATAATTCTTTGTTTGCAATGACGTCATTTTGGGATTACTGCTGACGGGCAGGTATAACAAAAAACGGCTTTTTAATGTCTTGATCGAGTTTAGAAGACTAAAAAAAATTCATTACAGTTTCTTGCTATACAACCATTTTGCTAAGGAGAAAAATCGTCCACAAGTTGTTTGATTGCCCGTCATTTGGATGAAAAGAATTGCGTGGTTGCAAACAAGGAATACAGAATTGACATTAAACATATGATGACTATAAGAAGGTTACGACATATTCACAAAACATTTACATCAAATCACATGAAAGGACACTTGGTCGTTTTTCAGATGTGGTGTTTCATGTATTAGCGAGCTTAAGATGTATAGTCTAGTACACGGAGGGTACAAATAACTATGGAATAATTAACACATCCTAAATTCGCAGATTTTTTTAAAATTAATATTTATATATTTTAGGAAGCTTTCTCACAAAGCGATTTTCAGAAAGGTAATCTGTAAAATATATTGATTATTTTTGTTAACAATTAAATTAACAAAGAACTGCAATGGTGAAAAACAGAATTAAACTGGTAACAAATCAGAAAGAAAAGCATAAGTAACTATCTTTTTGTCGCGTCCCCGTACTAGATTTTGCTCATCTTAAGTTCGCTGTAACTAGGTACGGCGTTTTTTTTCTTTAAAATTTCAGCAAATTAAATTTAGACTGGAAATGAATGCATGCCACAACCCCTCGCCTTTTTTTTTACAGAATATCGTAACGCCACAACATTGTGTCAACATTTGACATGTGCCCATGGCATAACATTTGCTAACATTAAAACTATATTTTTGTACTGACGGCCAAAAATATAAAGATAATTCCAAAATCTACAGTTTTACGGTTTTATTGTGTTGGTTATTTTGACATCTTAGCGTACCAACCAACTTGAATTTAGCATAATTATAAAATTTACTTTATCGTTCAGTAAAATGTTTCGAAAACTCAAAAACGGTTCTAGCTCTACGATGTTCATTTCTGCGAGCTCTATTTTTTGTTGCGAGCGTAGAAAAAGCCTCCGACACTCAGGGCACAAAAGTTTATCACCTTGAAAATTAATTTTCTTGTATAAATACGGTAAAATAAAATTTGTTTTACCGAAGCTTTTATTTATAGAATATCATTTTATTTGTGGGAAAGATTACATTGAGGTTCCTGCTGCTCGGGAAAACACTACAACATAAAACCAGTAAAATTGTTGTTCTTGTTTAGATTAAAGCGTTAACACAAAATCAAAGAGAAAATACGAAATTTATACACTATTAAAGCAGAAAGCGCTACAGTTGAAAGGCTGAAATTAATAGTTAGTATGATTTAAAGAAACTCAAGACCTTATCCATACATGTTTTGCTATTACCTATAATTACCTTACCAGTTTTGTAAACGTTTCTTGACGAGCATAAAATTCGTGCAAAACTTGACATTATCAAAAAACAATTTGTAAGCCTAAATTGTAAAATGGTAGTCAAAGCAAAGATTTATAAATAATATACATTTAATCTGCGCAAGGTACTTTCGTTTTAGTTCGAGAGAAATTACCTTTAAAGTTTCTCATTTTAAGGAAACCAAAAAATGAACATGATGAACTACAGTAATAACTTGCAGAGCTGAGTCGATTTTTATAATAATATTTGAATAATAGGTAACGATTAGGAACATTTATGGTAATATACATGTCGACTACGCAGGTAATCGCGTTCGACGAAGAAGAACGCATACTAATCATTTCGTATATTAATCCCGCGTGTTTTACGATGATGTCCCGCGTGTGTCTGCATATGCCATTCGATTTTCAGGTTTGACGCCATCTAGCTGGGTGGCTTGGTGGTACGAATTAACAAAATACGAGTTACTTCCTTATAAGTGTAATTTAATTAACCTTGGCATATGCATATATATATATATATATATATATATATATATATATATTATTGTGTATATTCGTATGTATTATTATAAAGGTATATTTGTGTATATTCGTATGTATTATTATAAAGGTATATGTTTTGTTATGTTGAAAAGCATGCATTGCCATAAGTCACTGGCGCACCCACGACACCATATATGCATTGTCGTGACTGGGAGAGGGGTCTCTATAAACATAAATGCCGTTGGGAAAATATGTTGACCGCACTACATAGATAATTTTATACCTTGTTTTATTTCTCAGTCTAATGCTGCTTGTTTGTTTTTATGACAATTGCGCGGATAATTGTGAAGACGTTTTACAGGGAAAATCGGAAGTATGAGCAGATACATGTTTGCTTGGAGTACCTATTTTTTCTTTCTGCAGAAGAGGCTGCTATCTACTTTGCTCTGACGCGGTATTGACGACGCTATATACTTTGACGACGACGCCACCATGTAATACCCCAGAAAAACGTATACAGTGAACTAATGGGGTGAAACTTATTTAATCGTATGTTTAATTATTATATATAGTTATTTATTTCTATACCAAAAAAACATATGTGAAAGCGAACTGAAAAGAAATTACCAAATTAAGCGAAGAAAAAGAAGATCTAGGTAAGAAGAGCTATATGTTATAGCTATCGACTACGAGGCCATGAAGCCATCTGATCTCGCATTTCACATCATTACATTTTACATGGAAAAGTTTGAGTAAAAAACGCAAAGGGGTCTCAACGAGCACACGCTCCGACCTCCGTCAGTCGCCTTGCATGCAGTAGGTCGTTATAAAGCTATATATATATATATATATTATAATGATATTTGATTCGTTAGGGAATAACCAACGGGAAAAAGTAATAACTAATTTACAAACTAGTAAGTGTGAAGTATACCAAACAGACAGCATGCGGATTGAACAGCATGACTGCAGTAAACAGAGGATGACAGAGTTGTGGCAAGGTCAACAATTGAAACGAGTACTCAAACTACCGACTACGAAGCCATGAAGGCGCATATGATATTCTTTCAGTCATTAAATTTTTGTTTCCTTAATTTACTGCAATGGTTGAATATGTGCTAAAATGTTATTAACTGTTTTTTTATTTCAAACCATCCTTGGAATCGCATTTGCATGGTTGTTTCTGACCCAATCGGGGTTTTTGAATTACTCCAATTTGCTAAACTCGTTTACGTTTTCATTATTTTTAAGAAAGTTTAAAAACGTAAAAACGAAAAGACGTATTCTCACGCAGAAGAGACGTATAAAGGCAGTGTGCATTATTTTAAAAAAGTTTAAGAATGTGCGACTGGGTCTTCGGGCACACGAAAAGAGCCACCGAGGAGTTGTTGCGAGCCTTAGGGGAGTGGGTCCCTGACAAATCAAACATCCCCCCCCCCCGCCAAAAAAAAACTATCGAATCGATGTTGGCGGAGCTGAAGCAAAGGTAACAATCAACAATATTTATTTTATATTAATTTTAGGTCTACAACCTATTTATACGGAGAAGGTTTTCAAATTAAGGACAGGTAATGTATAACTGCAGAACACTATAAATGACGACTTAACATTCGCCGACAAAGTGCGCATCTTTTTATATTCACCATATAAAAACGTACCACAGCAGAGATTAAGTGCGTGACGTATATTGTTCGTGTTTGTGACGTTCACACCACAATTTTTCATGAGTAATTAATTACTTATTAATATGCCTCATGTGTGCCTGTAAAAGCTTAGAATCACTGACCCCACCTCTACCACATGTTGATACCAAGGACACCAATGACGTGGCAATATCACCCATGATGATATTGATGATGATGACGTTATGATTGATGATGATGACGTTCACCCATGATGACGTTACTCTCCTGACGATGACTGAAATATAGTCGAAACGTCGTTAAAATTAAAGCTACAAAATGAGGTGTTTCAATAACTGTTTTTTTTTTAGACCGAAAATTATCCTATAGATCAGAACGTTGACGAAATGGTACGAAAGTAATAATTTGCCATTGGTTCTGTACAGTCTCAGGCGTTGATTGTGCAGAAATTTGAAACAAATTGTGTCTAACACAATGTTTGGTTATCTTTTAGATTAAGGGATCAAATTTAATTTTTTGTCCAAATTCGGAAGAGAAGTAAGAACAGAAAATTTACGAGTGTAAAAGAGCACATACTTCTTGAATAAATAACATATAGCCTACATTGCCTCAAACTAATTGTTACCTTTGAATTATCTTTTTATATTTAGTGAATAGCCCATTGAATATTATTTCGATACTCTTTATAAAAGCACCAAAAACCAATTGAAGGTATATACATGAAATAGGCATTCACCATTAATTGTAACACTTAAAAAAGCATTAACTTGAGTTTTTCCATGAAACGAAACGTTTACGGAGCGCTCGAGATTTATTTTGTATTTATTCTTGAAATTTAAACGTATCTACGCAGTCGTTATTTTAATTTTCTTACAGGCAAACATAAAATTGAAACACTTTGATGATGAAATGGAGAAGGTAATGTATACCTGCAGAACACTGTAAATGGCGATCTGAATATTAACACTGGCTGATAGCTGCAAAGTTCCCGATTCTTTACGCGACGCCATCAGCATTCTCATCTCCGGCTTTATATGTTCAAGAACTAGCTGACCAAATACTGTTTAATTTTGTATTTGTACGCGACAAAGGGAGATAGAAATTTCAATTTATTAGTTTCCTCCATCCAAGTCTGCATTTTTTATAACGATGGTGATCCATTATTCTTCAAATTTAGGGGTACTTATACGCAGTCTTTATTTTAATTTTCTTACATGCCTACATGAACCTTACTGCACATTATCAAAAACGTTATCATGTAGCTATTTTCAAATACGTTGAAAAGAGAAGCCATTCACACATGATGAATTAATGATGCATATTGTCAACTTTTGCATCTTAATTTGGCATTGATTTCGATAACCGTTTATTTTGTACTTATTTTTTATGTATTGTTCAAATTAATTTAGGGATTTTTACGCGGTATTTATTTTAATTTTTACAGGCCAATACTTTCCTAAATGAAGAAGTAGTGACAAAGCTGTATACTCTCCATAGTATATTTATATTTGACAAAAGTAGCTATAAAATTTCAATTTATTAGTCTGCTCCAAGCCTGCATTTTTTTATAACGATGGGACGTGATCCCCTCATCTCATTCAATCATGCTTGCTGCAGTCACAATGTTATTGCGTTAAAATTTCCAGCTACTATATAGTTACGTAAGGCAATATTGGGACGGGGGGGGAGGAGAAATTGATACATAAAGAAAAAATGCTCAACGTGTTCCTTGCTTTTCAAGAGTATAGCAGTAGGAAGATGACAACTGGGCCCTCCCGGAAAGTAAAAAAGTGACTTTGCGTTCTGATCAAGTCTTACCAGCACACAGGTCTTTCAATATCTTCACTTATATAACAATTTTATTTCATATGCATGTCTGCATGTCCAAAACCCATACATGATCAAGTTTTTAACCCTGTTGATATTTGAGTTGTACATGCATGGATGTCAACAAACGGGGGGTGATTCAATAACTGTTTATTTTAGTCGGAAACTGTTTCAGGAAACGCCAAGACAGAAAATTTGGTACGAAACAATAAGTAATAACTTGTCATTGGTTCTATAAAGTCTCAGGCGCTGATTGTGTAGCACAATGCTTGGTTATCTTTTAGATTATAATTAAGCAGTTAGCTATGGTATATGAACCAAACAGAAATGAACTGTAAAAACAGAACATTTACGAGTATAAGAGAACACATACTTCTTGAGTAAATAACATATACATTGCCTTAACACGGAGGAAGTATATCTTTACTCTTTGGCCCTAACCAGACTCAGCCACTGAGCCACGCATGCGAGTATGCCACCTGTTGCTGTTTAATTTAAAAATGCAAACGAATATGGCGAAAATAACTACGCAAAACATGTGCAACATTTTCAACAAAAAATCACGACACACAGCTCAAAATGCTCTTATCGCATATAAAGTTTACATTTTCGAGACGACTTGCTAAAAGACAAATAGTCTGATTACTATCACTTGGTGTTGTGTGGCTTGTCAAGGGCTGTTTAAATACAGCATATATAAAGGTATAGTATACGACATGCAACAGCAATTTTATAAATTTGTATTCCCACTCCTTATATCAACAAATATAGAATCGCACGTATATTACGCAATCGAACTGGAAACCATGGAATCGAGAAGTGAGTAAAGATGAGTAGTCTACGAAAACAAAAAGAATCGCACATGCGCAGAACGGATTGTAACCCGTCTTTAAACTAATTGTCACCTTTGAATTATCTTTTTATATTTATAGTATTAGTACGATTGCGGCCGCTTTCGAGCACGTTTATGGAAGCGCAACTAAACTGTCGAAGGTATATATACATGAATGAGACATTCACCATTGTAAAAATTAGAAAAAGTATTAACTTGGGGTTTTCCATAACACGAAACGTTGACGGAAAGCGCTCGAGATTTATTTTGTATTTATTTTTCAAATTTTAGGCGTGCGGTCTTTATTTTCTTACAGGCCAACGTTAACCTTACTGTACATAATGCATTTTCGAGTGGGTTGAAAAGAGACGTCATTCACACATGATAAATAATACATAATACATATTCAACTTTTGATTGGCATTGATTTCGACAACGTGCGAAGGCCCTGGGTACGAGGTTGTGCATTCGAATTCTGGCCACCTCATTGGCGAGGTTGTGTGATCCGATCCGTGAACATGCCTCAAAAATATTGCTTTAAAAATTTGAAACAAATTGTGTCTAATGCAATGCTTGGTTATCTTTTAGATTAAGCACTTGGCTATGGTATATGAACCAAACAAAAATGTACCGTAAGAACAGAAAATTTTCTTAAAGGCAAACTTCAACTTACAGCTCAATGCTGAATATAGTATATCAATCAATTTGTTGAAGGTATATAGGCCTAATTGAGCGAGACATCGCAGCGCGCTGAGTTTCATGGAATAGTAGTAACTTGTCTATAGTTCTGCATACAATATCAGGCACGGATTGTGCAGCAATTTTAAACAATTGTGTCCAACACAATACTTGGTAATCTTTTATAGATTGAAGAATTTTATCTCTAGCGAGGCAGAAAGGAAATTTTAATTATACTAGTGTAAAACACTTTTGGAGTAGCGAAATAACATTATGCACTGCCTTGGACTTTATACTATAGTTGTCATCTTTTTATATTCAGCGTCGATTGTTGCCTTGTTTCCATGAAACGTGGAAACAAATGTATAAGGTATATGCATGACATTCGCTATTGTAACAATTGGAGGGTGTGTTAACTTACTTTTTTCCATGACATTAGTCCGATGAAACGTTCACGAAAAGCGCTCTAGATTTATTTTGTACCGATTTGGTTAAATTTAGGAGTATTTACGCGGTATTTATTTTAATTTTCTTACAGACATACCATTTGCAAAATCAGAAATGCAAGGCAATGTACGACTGCACTATATACTGTACAGCAGTTTGGACGGAGAAACGGGACAATGGATTTCGCCAGAACTCGAAACAATCGGGCAACGACATATACACAGTATTTCATATTTACTACATTAAATACACCAATTTTAATTCAGCTAGTGTATAGACCTGAAGCAAGCTTATCAAATTCCCATTTCAACTGAGTCTCAGAAGTATCTGATACTATCAACACCCATCTGAGTCTCTTTACTTTTAAAAAATTGCCTAACGGGATTCATTCAGGACGGTCCTGCTATATATTTCATATTGGATATGCAAGAAGTTTAAGGCAGGGTAAGTATAACTTTACTTTATTACATTCAATACACCCTTCTGCAAGTACTCAATTCCGACCTTGGCTGCTATAGCTGAGGAACTTCGTTTTCGTGAATAAATTTCAACGTTATTATTATTATTATTATTATTATTATTAGTAGTAGTATAGTAAATCTTTCAATTTCATCTTATCATAACACACACACACACACAAACTTGATAATCACATAATTATTTATGAACTTGTGCTTAACGGTCATCAACTGGTACAAGAGTTGGTTAGAGCGCTAGTGCAGGGCCACAGGTTCTATTCCTGCCAGAAAACCTACCGTTGCAATTATTCGCAATCGTTCAACCAGGTTCGTCTATGTTCTTAAATGAGGACACTCATTCGTCCAGCACATCTGCAACTTATAATGTTGCCTATCTTTTCATGCATGTATATATATTATTGTATTATTATGTATATTTATATGAACTCATCACATCATAATTAATAATTCATGAATAAAACTTAAATATTTAACGAGGTGTCCGTGTCGACACAATTCATATAAGAATTCTCCCGGTTTTCATGAACACCGATTTTGTTTGAGTTTCAATAATTTCTTAAAACAAAACTGTGGTAAAATCTTTAATATTGATTAACAATTCAACAAGATATTGCATTAATACATTCATCAAATAAAAAAAATTGACAATTTTTGGAATTTAATTGTTCTAATTCAAGTTCTCTGTAAGAAACGTTTACTAAACAACGAAGGTCACGATGTTGCGCAAACCCGAGAGTATACCATTAATTCTTAGAATTTAAGTAATTGCTCTCAATTGTGATCGAATCAAGGCAACAAACACTGTACCCTGAGTTATAAAAACATTTATCATTATTTTCATATACATTCTTAAGGAACCGTGTTAAAAAAGTTGGTAAACCCGATTACTTAGTCACATTTGTATTTCCGATTAATTTAATAATTTAATGGACACATTAATAATTTAGCCATATTTGACGACAAAAGCAACATGCTGGCACAATATTATAGGGTTTAATTTGGACAGACATCTCAAGCATGTAAAAGCTCTAGAAACATTTTGGAAACTTCGGAAATCATGCAAAATAAGATGCTGAAGTAAATTTGCAAACAACGAATTTTAAAATGAAGTTTACATCTGAATCTGACCTTGTACCGCGTGCTTAGGTGTCTGTGATCTAACATGAAAGAGGGAACTAACAAACAGTTGTATAGAACAAACATGATCCTTACACACATTTATACACAAACATATACGGAACACACCCATAACTGAAACACACACATATATGCAGAAATGAAAAATTACTAATAACACTTGCCCAAGAGAACATTGATAACTGCAGCCTTTCTCCGTGCTTTATCGCCCATTTACAATAACATGGTTCCAGCATCCAGGCAACATGGATTGACAACTCTGTTGTTGAAGCGACTTGGGAAGTATTTTACCATACGTTGGTTTTCTACTACCAGATCTCAAGCCATGCAGACATCAAACAAGGAACAAATCAATTACGCGTGGTCATCATTGGAGTGTCCAGTCGGGTACGTCGTAAGCAGCTAGTGACGAGAATGTAATCTGAAAAAAAAAGGATGGACTTTTACTATTAACTTTACTTGATACTTTTTCATTAATTTACTTCGATTAAGTCTGGAGGTGACTAACACAGAGCAGGTCAGCCTTCAGAGCAGGTCAGCAGGGCATCACATGTTCATACTGTTTTGCTTTACTGGTACAAATTATTACCTGATGTGTCTTTGCATCGTCATTTTTGATTTGTCAATTATTCAATGTTTTTACTAATGACAGAAGCCATCCATATTGTGCAGTCTTCCCACAGAAGTCGATATTGAAAAAACGTTTCCTTCAGAATTTCGAGGAAAGCGAATAACATCCAAACGGACTCGACCTTCTTCAGGAATGCTTGTTGCAAACAATACATAGAATTTGTTAATGAATGACATCGTTTATCAGCAAAGTTTGGCGATCATCAATCTATAGCAAAGGTCTTGCACACATCTTTCTCCCTGTAAAAAGAGTAAATATTTGTACATTGTACAGTTTGCATGCGAATGACAGTGTACTATCAGAGTATACTATCATTGTCAGGGGAACCGAAATTGAGCAATCACGCCTCACGATATACCTCGAGATATACCCCATCAACACCATCTTCTTTGTTCATGGACTATGAGTTTGAAGTTATACTAAAAACTTGATTCAGCACGCTATTGCACCTGAATTACTCTGCGTATAATCTGATCGGCAACAGGTCCATTTTGGCCGGATAGTAATAATTAATATTATACAGTAACAAGTCATGTACGTTTTTAATAAACTACTTAGTAATAAACTAAATATAACTATGGGTATAAAAACAGTTTTATTGTTTGTTTTTTCTTCGCTCTCCTATTAGCCAATCAAAATGCTCACATAGGTGTTTTGAGCCAATCAGAATGGATAAATTTCTTCCTGTTTATTATAATTTATCAGCTAGTGACATGGTTCTGATCACTATAGTGATATATATAGGACGGATTAGTGAGCTCGATGTCTTTTATGATAAAAACACAACAAGTTTAATTATAAGTAAAAATAAGAGTAATCAATTTTGCACAGCATAGACTGCAAACAGCCTGCTGGACGGGAAAGGAGGGACTGCTCAAAACGCCCACTTTTTGTAGTTTGTACAGTAATTCCAGGTCAACAAACAATCACTTTTAATTATACTTTTTAATATTAATTCACTCGCAAAGCACTGTTTGTGAAGTCAATAATTTTTAAGCATAGACTGACAGAATATCATGCACCCCAAAATTAACACAAATATACATTTACGTTCTATCAGACTTATAAAACAGTATCATGTATGAGAGCAAACTGCACACTCAGAAGTAATGTTTTACCTTGTACAAAGCATGCCCGGAAGTCTTCAGGACCTTCTCGCTCCTGCATGTACAAATCGAAGCCAAGTACTTCAGCCCGTCTTGTTCAAAATTTTTCCTCGCTGTAATGGCTGGACCAAACTGGGCATTGACGACAACAGCACGTGTTGCGGGTAGTGTCGTTGCTCAGCAGGTTGCAATGTCGATGGTCTGGCGAGACGTTTAGAAAGACTTCAAATGCAGTAGCTCCATAATTATTCTCTTCACCCATAATTGCCATCTCCATTTCGTTAAATTGACAACGTCCGCCTCCCCACATTTTTGGCTTTTCATTGGGACTGTACGCGCGGTAAGCTTCTTCCGACGACGAATGCCTGAATGGCAGGATAAATAATTAGCGTTTCGTCTAGTTTGTTCGATCGCGGATACGAAGAACCGCACGCTGCGACAATATTAGTGTGTGTGAGATCAAGGACAAGGTTATCATATATGACCTCGATCGTAGTCGCCATGGTCAGATATATATAGCTCTACAACAGGCTGACTTGTAGTGGTCGTTTTCACTCTAAAAGAGAATTAAAATACAATTATTAAAAAAATAATACGAACGGCATGCAGCACTGTGGCGTAGGTAATGACAATATAAACAGCACTAGAAAGCTTCGGTTTGAGAGCGATTCATCGTCAAGCAAAACCAAACGGCATTCGATCGCACTTCGCTCATGGCCCTTCCCTCGAAGACTCGAAATTTTTCAGGTATAATTGAATCTTTCTCAATTCGCAGCTTTCTAACAGAATATATACATGTTTAGGATAAACAACACAACAGTAGTTTCCTTCCAAAACGTTATTAATCACGTACCGAAGTAAACTCGTTCGTTCTCTCGTACTGATTGAGTTGGCTCGAAGGCAAACGTGGCCGGTATTTCTCATATTATCAAGATCCTTCTGACTTCTTCTTGCTAACGTGGTGAAAATATGACCGCACCCTGGCACGTAGCAGTTATTTTATAGGCCTGAATTAATTGAATACGCAGGACTCAGCAGAATCTGCATAACTAGAAAATCATTTTAACTGCACCGGCCGTAGTTGCTCTATTCCGGCTTTGAGCATTGTGTCTGGCTCACTGTGAAGGAACGATTTTCAAAATGGCATTTCGAATCTAATTACAATCAAGTAATTCATCAAATTGTTTTCACATAGCTTTGTAATTACAAATTCCCAATAGGGAAGAAGATAAAGGCTCAGGACAAAAGCCTCTTTTCGCTCATCGCAGAAACTACAGCGTGTATGAAAATTTAGCCATAACCTTTTAAATTGATTCGTTGCTCTTCAGTAAACTGGCCCATTTTAATCTTATGCAGACTTGAATAATACTTAATTTAAACATTTTTCTTTCAGTTGTGTATTTGTTCTTACAAATAGAAGTTATCCTAAATTCCCATGTGCAGAAGATCTTGTGTTTTCACGCATTCATTAATTCGAGAAATTATACGGCTGTCAAATTGCTACAATAGATTACGGTTAATTTTAATTTGAAAGGGTGTAATTTTCTTGATATACCCTGTACAATTAGCATTATTGGCCTGGTAATTAGAGCATTGTTTTCTATTGGGCTATTACATTAAAAAACCAACCCCCCCTGTCGAGGACCTCTGCTTTTGGGGATTTTACCCCTCTGGAATGCAAAAAAATCTGTGTAATTGACCCCTCTGGAAGAGACTTGAACCCCCTCTGGAAGTGCATTTTTGCTTTTTAACCCCTCTGGAAAGAGCATTTTTCTTCCATTTTTCCCAATTACCCCTCTGGAAAAAATTACTAATTTCCCCCTTGGAAAATGAGGTCCTCGACAGGGGGGGTACGGGCATTAAATGTAATAGCCCATTCCCTTGTGATTTGTGAACGCCAACGAACGAATAATCAGTTATGACTTATGTTAATAAGAATATCCTTTATTTACAATTAAACATGCATGCAAATGCATGTATATATCAAAACAGGTAATTGTTTGGCAAATGTGAAATGGCTACCAAAGTCGTTTTACACGGTCTTTGAGATGTGCTATTTTGGTTTTAGGCATATACATATATAATATATACATACTTTTTGACGCAAACGGAATATTTAAAACTACCTAATTAGTCCTTAATATTTAAAGCAGAACGGCATAAAATTGTCAAATCACTAATTATAGGCATAACATCGCTTCGACTAAAGATGGTTCAACTGTTGACAGAGCATCAAGTTTTTTTTTTAAGAAATTATTGGGCGTGAAGGGGAGGAGGAGGAGAGATCAAGCCCCTTGATTATAGCCGCATATTTGTGTTCAATTCAAAGGTTTTTCAAAGACCTTTTCAAGTATTTCAGAAACCGCTTTGGACCCTGTCTTCTTTACCATTTTACGAAACCAGCATTTATTGCAGTAATCCAAGGATTAAAACTACCAGGATACGCTTACAACACAAAGCTAAACCAAAAACGTACTCGTTTGGGCTGCTGTGAACGAAGGCGACGCACCCCACATCAGCACACAAAATGCAATGCTAATAAGCATTTTAATTCCTTTTCAAAATTCAAACGATCGCAAAAGCAACCCCAACCCCCACCCACCCAACCACCCACCCACCCACCCAGACCCAACCCAGTACCCCAATCGTGTCTCCAACCGCCATCCCATCCACACCCAAAGACACCTTCACCCTAACATCCCCAACCACAACCCAAGCAATCACGCCACAGAGTCCCACCACCATGGACACAACCCCAACCCAGACCAAACCCAGTCCAGTCTCAGACGACAGTGCCTACTTTCGTCTGTGGGGACTGTAAAGTGGATGCCTATTTTATGATCAATATTTGCGTTTGGATCTTCTCAGGTTGCAAAATTCTTGATAAAGTTTATCTTTCACACAAATTAATTCGGCTGTAACCTATCACAAGCATAGAAAAGAGTAAATTTAGAGCGTGGGTAGCAAAATATTAGTTGCACGTAATTATTTTCCGTGTTTGGTCATAAAATAAATTGCGAAATTGTGGATTCGAAAAAACCTCGATCGATATTCTTCCATTTCCCTCTGCTAGAGCTAGTATGAGGGTTTATACGAGAGTTGTAGCTCTTGTTCGTGTTTGAGTATAGCTTACGTACAAACCCAGAGGTGAGGTGGAGATCGAGGGGGAGGGGTAGCATGACCCCCTTATAATTATAACCTTAAAAGTACTTTGGAACTGAAGTGTCTAATTTTCAGGAATTTCCAAAAGATAACGATCTTAGTATTCTCTATTTGACCACACTAAATGCTCCATAATGGACCATTTGCATTATAGACTAAATTTTGATCTGGACAAAAATTTCATCACAGCTTGAAAAGGCATCATAAAATTAGTAATATTCCAAAGTTTCGTTGCAAAATGTTGTAGAATGCGGATAATATAGCCAAGCGAAGTTTGCCGTTTTTCAAGTCATTTTGTATTACGCACGGGAAATTGACAGCCCAATCGCGGGTATTGGGGCATCAATTTCCCGTTTGTAATACAAAATTCCCCAGGTTATATTATCCGAATTTTACAACATTTCGCAACGAAACATTGGAATATTACCAATTTTGTGATGCTCTTTCAAGCTGTGATGAAATTTTTGTCTAGATCAAAATTTAGTCTATAATGCAAATGGTCCATTCACATCATTATGCTGGTGAGCAGAAGGCAAATTGACAAGGCATACGATCGGCAACAAATTATTTTTATAAAGCCACGTATGAATTATTTATACTGTATACTGTATACTAATGCTACTTTTCGTAAAGCCTAAAGGCAAAAAAGAAATAGTTTGTTCATTTCTCACAAATACATTACGGGTTATGAATAGCTTTTTAATCAGCAGTTTATAATTATAGAAAATGTAGTTATGTATTAAATGAATTCAAATAAAACGACAATTTAGTTGCATTGCAAATCAGTTTTGCTTTGCCAATGATCACTTGTTGTCCAGAAGCTAGGCTGGATCAGATCTAGGACGACGTGCGCGGTGTATCATATAGACCAGAGCACCAATCAGAACCACGCTGAGACAAACAAATCCAATCAAAGAACCCACCAGTCTAGCGTTCACCGCCTCCGAGTGAGCTGAAATATTTACTTGAAGAATTAGGATACCATATGATATGTGTAGGATAGCATATGATATGTGTAGGAAAGCATATGATATTGGTAGGATAACATGATATTTGTAGGATAACATATGATATTTGTAGGATAACATGCATATGATATATGTAGGACATATGATATCTGTAGGATAACATATGATATATGTAGGATAACATTATTTGTACGGGTGGCATGTACCCTTGTCCTTGGACTGCTTAATATTATGAGCCTGTGATACTCACCCTCAGCACTCTTGTCAGCGGACTCCTTCCCTTTCATTACTGGACCAAACGACAGTGCATACATACCGGACACATCTTGTGACCGCTCATCAACATCACGACGATCACGCGGCGAACATGAAGTATTACGCGTGCATATCGAGTTAGGATCATATCTGTGACACACTACAAGATCACAGTGAAGGTAGACAAAGCCACGTTCTGACAAGACGCGCAATGCCTGGATACTAAAACGATGAACAGAACTCATTCCGTACGAGTAATGGCGGATCGTTTCATCTTTGTCGCAACTAAAACGAAATACAGAAATTATGAATTAATAGGTTTCATTTCATCTGCTTCATCATGACATGAAATTTTGGATGAACAAAGTTTTGATCAAGTCAAATGCTATCTAAGCCTGAATCAATCGAATGCTTTCTAAGGACGTCTCTGGCAGCCACCTTATGACTCATGTCTGATCACGGTGCACAGCTACGGTGGAAGGGTCAGTTAAGGCCTGACTCCACGAGCGCTTTTTGTCAGCGAAATGCGAAATATTTCGCCTGTTTCTTTTGAATTGTGAGCAATCAAGTAGAAATAATTTATTCGAGTGGTCGCAATTCAAAAGAAACAGGCGAAATATTTCGCATTTCGCTGACAAAAAGCGCTCGTGGAATCAGGGCTTTAGGGGCTAAACTCCAACCCACCCTGTCAACATTCCCTGAGGGAGGAAACTGGAATACCCCGAGCAAAACCCACGATTTTCGGTAGAGCGATGACTGATGCTTTTCACATGAGTGTTCTGATTTCGCAGCGAGAATCGAACCCATGATCTCAGACGTGAAAGGTGCTTGGTCTGAAGCCCCAGAAACTACTTTTCGTAATTGGATCCACTTACCCGTCAGCAATAAAGACGTATTGTGGAGTGTCGTAAGGTCTGTTGGTGGGCGTCGCTCTACACGTTTCTGCGCGCACAACAAGATTCGGGTTACTGGTGTTGATAGAGTACTGAATGTAAAGATTATCTGACGGAGATTTAAACACTGGATAGTCTTGTGGTGAGTATGGCTGACGATAATCTATGTCCTTGAAAACATCCATTATAAGAGAGAAGTTGCCTTGACCAGCTAGAAAGCAACAATGGTCCAATTTAAAGTGGAGATACATCATAGACGGCAGAAGGTTGGTTACGTTGCGGGGGTAGGAGGGGAACTTTAAAATCTAAAGTCTCTAAATAAAAAGGCATTTTATGCATTCTGAGAAAGATTTTGACACCAAGAAACCTTGACATAACTTCCTATGACAACTGTTTCAAGCCATATAACTTATAACAGGAATTATGAATATTCAATATATCATAAATCTTTGGATTGGTTTATTCCCCCCCCCCCAAAAAAAAAACAAAAAAA